TCACAATCGGTTGAAAATTCACATATTTTATTGTTGACTTGGATAAAGAGCGTGTCACAATCAACGAGCAAAGTTTGAGCCCGAAATTTTGAATCCAATTTCTTTCGAGTAGACCGCAGTTAAGCTCAAATTTAAAATATTAACTCCCTATTTGAGACTGTGAGGGTTGTCGAAAATCGATTGTCTTAAATTTTTCTTGTTTTTAAGATCAAACATCATAGCTACACCAAACGTTACATTAATTTATTTCTTTCTCATTTCATTTTTCAAGTGCAAAGCTAATCAATAGTTTAAGCATTCTTATCTTTGAAAACCCCATATTTGATTAACTGTACACCTCAAAATATGTTCTTAAACAAAAAAAAAAAAAAAGGTTTCAATGTAAGAGTTTTCACTGCATCCTCCAATCTGAATTCTAATTATATTCCGAAAATAGAAATTCACTTTAAAATCTAATTTGTCAGCTCAAAAATCAAAATTCACTTTGAAATCTCATCTACAATGTCAAAATGAGAATTGCAGTAATGAAAATTAGATTTCAAAGTGAATTTCTATTTTGGAACACACAAATTAGATTTTAAAGTGAATTTTCATTTTAAAAATGGAAATTAGACTTCCCGAAGGAAGAAACATTGAATATTATTTACATCATATGAAATATCTTCTTTTAAGAAAATATTTTGCGGCGTGCAATTAATCTCGTAAGTGATTGCAGTGACGAGAATAATTAGTTCTAAAATGGGCTTTATAGTTGGAAGCAAAATACAGAACAAACATATTTGTGAAAAATTGGCTGGAGTAGCTATAGTTACAAACAATATTAGAAATAGAAGTCTTAATGAATTTAACAATCTTCGACATACATAGCATAAATATGATGTTAAACGATCTGTTTTTTATCCAATCAAAGGTCTCATTCAAAAGAATTTCAGTCAAAAATAAATTTTCGAGAGATTGTCATTATTTTAGCTAAATTTATAGACATACACTACGTAATACATGTATATCATATACTATAAATGTCTTAATTTTCGTACATGTATAACTTAAATTTTACAAAAGCTAAGCCCTAAATTTAAAGACTCACCCAATGTGCAAAATCAAACTATGGATCGATCATACTAAATTTCGATCTGATACAACATAGACCATTTATTGGCTTAAGCCTTAACTGAAGATAGGAAATTCTACTCTCAAATTTTTTGTAATTACATATCTAACAACTAACCCTTTTTTTTTTTTTAAACATACAAGTTTACATGTACATGAAAAGTTGTATTAAAATGCTAAAATTTAGGTGTTAGCATATAGATACATAGGAATTTAGTGGTATTAAAATGTAAAATCTTTGACTGTCTAATTTTTTTCTACCACTAGAGCTATACCAGCTCTATCTATTGATATATTCATTACACATTTATCTTTTACAACAACTAAAACAACAACAAGCTTTTATCCCACTAAGTGGGGTCACCTACAAGAATCTATTTTTCTCCGTTGTGTCCTATTGAGTGTCACATTTTTATTTAATTCTAATACATTAAGATCATTTTTTATACAATATGCCAAGTATTTTTAGGTCTATCTCTGTAAGTATTTATACAATATGCCAAGTATTTTTAGGTCTATCTCTGTCTTTCTTAACATAAGCTGAATATAAACTTATACTTTTCTTCTAACTGAATCATCAAATGAACGACGTTTAAAGTAACAAATCCATCTAAAACAACTCTCTACAATCTTGTCCGCCACTAGAGCTACACAAACCCTATAATGAATATATTCATTTTGCATTTTGTCTATATGTGTCAAGCCACTCGTCCATCTAAGCATTCTCATCTCTAAGCATTCTCATCTCAACAACTCTCAACAACTCTTAAATTTGTTTTATATTTCTCTTTTAAAGACCAACACTCTACGTTGTAGCGATATTTTTTTATCACACAATAGGTTGGATGTATTCCTCCACTTCAACCAACCAACTTAAAATCCACTAATTGCATCCTCATCTATATCTCCATCACTTTGAACTAGAGACCCAGGATATCTAAAACTTCACACCTTTCAATGTTTTCGATCACCCGTAGTTACAACTTTACTACTAGAGCTACTACTACTAAACTTTCATTTAATGTATTCAACTCTAGATCTACTCAAAAGAAGGCCTTTAGAATCCAATGTCAACCTTCGTAATTTAAGTTTTTCCTAAACTCTTTCTAAAGCACCCAAAACATTGCTGAAGGATATCACTACAAAAAGCATACACCAAGATACATCGTCTTGTAAATGTCTAGTAAGAGCATCCATAACTAAAGCAAGAACACATGGGCTTAAAGTCTATCTCTGATGTAATCCAACTGAAATAGGAAAATATTAGGTCAAATCTCCTTCTAGTTGCTAAACGCTAAACCCTAAACGCATTCTTCAAAATAAATAAAAATAAAAAGGAAAATGAAGATGAGAAGTTACCTTCCTCGATAGTTTTGGGTAGGAGAAGAGCAAAAGGACGAGAAAATGGGAAGTTTCTAGTCACTGTAAGCCATGATCCATTGTTGTGTTCCCAACTAGCTTCTATTGTGACTATATCACAAGGGTTTTCAATTAAGCCAATGGTTTTAGATGAAACAAAGAGGGGGTGGCGGGTAGGGGTGTAAACGAACCGAACACGAACGAACAAAGCTTGTGTTTGTTTTCGGTTCGTTTAAAATTTAGTTTGTTTGAAATAAGCTTGTGTTCGTTTCTAAACGAACGAGCCGAACACAAACCGAACACGATCTTTTTGCGAACGACGAGTCAGTTTGACATCCCTAATATTAATATATAAAAATAATATTATATATTAATTATATAACTGATATTATATAAATATACAATATCTATATTAGTATATTACTACTATAGTATATTAATATATTATTATTATTATTTTATTATATATTATAATTTATAAAATTTTTTCAAACAATAACGATTCGAACACGAACGAACGCATCACTGTTCGTGTTTGGTTCGTTTAACTAACCGAACGAAAAAAAAAAATGTTCGTGTTTGTCTCGTTTACTTATCGAACGAATCGAACACGAACTCATTGACGAACCGAACACGAACTGTTCGCGAACAACGAGCTTTTTTGACAGCCCTAGTGGCGGGACAAGCAAGGGTTTTGGAAAGACAAGCAATGTAAGTAAGGGCCTCAGGTAGAGAGGAGTAATGTAGGCAAGGGGGAGGACAACTTATAAACAACTTTCAGTTCGTCAGTTCTTAAAGCTATTACCGACGAAAATTCTCATCGTTTATTAAAAAAGTGCGTTGGTAACTGACGAAATTTGGTTGTCGATTAATATTTGATTATAATTGATGGTATGATGCATCAGTAAAAAATAAAAACATCGGAAAAAATATTACTGTTGATAAGCGACGGTCTGTCCTATAGTTATGTCATCACAATAACTCATATCATAAATCGTCGCTAGACCGTTGGAAAATATAACATTTTTTTACGGTGTAAATTGAAGTTGTCTGTTTTGTCTTCGGATTTAGCATTTTTTCATGTAGTGTGACATGCATGTAAATGAATGAAAAAATTAGGAGTCGAGATATGTGAATACATACAAAATTGGGTGATCCGTATGTAAATGCCACATATATATATACATATATATATATATATCTGACACTGATCACATGTATATATATATATATATATATATATATATTCACATCTCACATACCCACTCTTTCTTTAATGTTCATTTTGGAAAAAAATATCAGGTGAGGGTTTCACTTCGGTGAGAGAGACTCTCTTTCATTCATTTTTTTCACGCTTTAGTTCCACTTGGCGGGAGAGGTTTTCTTACAGTCTTAAAGTTGCTTAAATGCAAAGAAATCCCACTTTTGAGCACTATGATTGCGTGGCCCGCTTGAAGGTTCTAGCTATTTAGCTCTAATTCCAGCCGAGCATGATTCAAACATTCAAGCTTGTATCAAGCAGGGCATAAACAAGTTTTTTCATGAGCTATATAATCAAACACAAAAAATAAAAATAATAAAAAATAACTAGCCTAAAACAAACAAATCTTGTGCTCGCTCAAGCCCGGCTTATTTACACCCCCTCAGACATCAAACGAGCAAGAAAATTGTTCTAACATGTAAATATAAATATGTGAAATAATATCTAAATCTCAATAAATATCTGTTTTTTAAACATTTGAACACTATTATCCATGCATACATATAACCACGTCCCCTTCCTTCATATTTATCCATAATATATTGCTAACACAGCATATATTGTATTAGGAACACCATAAATATAGCAAAATTTAAAGCATACTCCAACATATGTACAGTTTATCAAAATAATATGATATTTTATTAAAAATCTTATACAGAGAATAGTCATTTATTGTCATGACAGGTCCGTGCATAAAATTTTTCCCTGCTCAATTGTGACGAACATTAATTTTGATATGCTTACGGTAGTTGAACAGTAGAAGGCCAGTTTCCTCCCTCCTCCAAGTCCTTCGAAAAGAAAGGTGCTGTTGGGCCTCTTCAGTCTTCAGTGCTCTTGCTAGCCGACACTGATCAATGCGGTACTTTTGACAAAATGGAGAGAGAAAGAGAACGATTGAACGCGACTGAGCAATATTATTTTCCCCGAAATAAGATTTGTGATGTGGGAGAGCGCTCGCACATGTTACTGGACGCCACACACGTGTATAGAGAGGATAAGAATTTAAATTTATCATGTATTTGGGGCATCTTGTGTTTATTCAGATAAACAATTTATCATGAAATACGTATAGTGTAAAAACTCAACCATATTTTCAGACATGAAATCCGACATACGTATAGTGTAAAAACTCAACCATATTTTCAGATAAATTGCTGAAATATATTTTTTGAACGATAAAATGACGTTTTGAAAATGCAGCCTGCACTTATAATCTACCCCAAAGAAGCCCTTACAAGTGAACGGGTAAGAAAGAAGATTTCTATAGGTTTCTGTGAGGGTAAAACTAACTCTCCCTTTCACTTCCCATTACCATCCCTCAGCACAAATTTTCTCATTTCTCTTTATAGGAATGGCTCCACTGCACTTTAGTTCCACAGATCATGGCATGGAAAACAGTTATGTTGAAGCTGAAGCACAAGAAGAAGAAGCGAATTCTCCCTCTTCTTCCTCTTCAAAATCTTTCTTTTCAAAAACGGTCTTCCTTCCCATCAGTCCATCTTGCTCTCTCTCAACCCACCATTTGTTTCCCTTTATGGGCACCTCAGAGACAAATGAAGTGCTTGAAGAAAATCTCAGCAGAGCAGATGCAGAAGAGGAGAACATAAATGAAAGCTTAGGGCAGTCCAATCTCTGCGCAAGAGGCCACTGGAGACCAGAAGAAGACTCCAAGCTCAAAGCCCTGGTTTCAATCTATGGCCCTCAGAACTGGAATCTCATAGCAGAAAAACTAAACGGCAGATCAGGTAAACAATTTAAATGACATTAAACACAGTTATTACAATGTAAACCTTCTCTTCATTTCCTTGTTTTTTTTTTTAATAAAGGTAAGAGCTGTAGATTGAGATGGTTCAACCAACTAGATCCAACGATAAATAGAAGTGCTTTCACTGAAGTAGAGGAGGAGAAGCTCATGGCTGCTCATAGACTCTATGGCAACAAATGGGCTATGATTGCAAGGCTATTTCCTGGTAGAACTGATAATGCTGTGAAGAACCACTGGCATGTTATCATGGCAAGGAAGTACAGAGAGCAGTCCAACGCTTATAGGAGGAGGAAGCTAAGCCAAGCCATGGATAGAAGACTCGAAGAAATTACTCCTAATCATCCCTTCTTCTCTTCTTCCATTGTTGATTACAGCTCTTCTTCTTTTCATCTCTTTCCAAATGGTGAAAATAACAGTCTTTTAAGCCACTTTGGAAGCTATACAGAAGAAAAGCCCTTCGATTTCTATTCTGGTATGTTTTACTTATTTCTTGCTGTTCTTTTTCTAGCAATAGTGCAAGACTGGCTTTTCTACCATTAGTTCTATGACGCCACTGATTTTGTTTGTTTCTTTTTGTTGGGTTTTTCATTAGTGATTGTTTTTTTAGGAAAGATTGGGTCAGAAAACTTTAATCCAAAATTTAGCTGATTAATTATTTTCTTAAATTGTTGATTTATCTTAAAATGAATATAATATGCATAGAATTGAACAAAAATAATTATTTGATATTTATTTTGAAATTTATTTATTAATATTTAGATTCATTTGATAAAAGAAGTTAATCCATTCATTTTTTATCATTTTTTTTTATCTCTGACTTTCATGAAGTGCATCTTTCCGTCTGCAACATCGGCTTGATAAACCCTACTAGTGAGATCTCTCTTACGTGTGTTATGTATTTGAATGGTTTCAGGCATGGAAAACCAAATCTACTCTTAGAAATTTATGTAATTATTATTATTATTTTTTAAATCAAACTAAATACTTAGGTTTTGTTACTAAATCCTACCAAGTTTTAACAAAAACAATATTTAATATTGTTGGTGTGATTAAAAATATGATGCTGTTTTTTTTATAAAATAAAAAACATAATTAAAAATTTATATATATATCTTTACTTACCTTTACTTACTAAAAATAGCCAATCCAATCAACCTTAATAAAACCTAGTTTTCAGCCTAATGCCATCCAAACATTGCAAAGAAAAGAAAGAAAAAATAACAGTTTCATGACCCTAATTTAACAAGATCTTAACTCGTCCTACTCTATCGAAGGACATCCTAAAAGCACAAATAGCTTCGACAGAAGCTGTCTCCCGTTGCCCAAAAGTTCCTTTGCCACTTCATTAATTAATTACTGGAAACTCATCATTAATTTTAGAAGCTCACGCAAGGCTTTGCAGGCCAAAACATCAGCCAAGAAGACAAGACAAAAAACATCATTCCGAGGACTTCTGAAGCGCAAGGAGATCGTAATGAAGCCTTGCACAGCTTTTACTGTCATCAAGTTTCTAACTTGATCGAGATGACAGCTTTATCATCATCAGGAGAGGGAGGAGCAAGTACTGACCTGGTTGATCGGGTTAATAGAGAAGGAGGAGGCAGCGGTCTTATGGCGGCTTCTGTAGCTTCTTCTTCACCAACTTTTATTGATTTTCTCGGAGTTGGAGCAACTACATGATCCTGGAATGCTTGGGAGAGCAGCATGAGAGAGGAATAGAGGGATTGCTGGTTTGTTTTAGATACGATTATGGGAATTAATTAAATAGTTCTTTCTTCAGTTTTATGTTTTATGTCTTGTTAAATTTGGAAGATATATTCATATTTTAGTTAGATAAATTTATATAATCTCTATCAGGATAGAATGATATTTGTTCTAAACTAAAATATATATATTCAGTAAAAAATCATAGAAGGTCCAAGGCTTATAGCTATATAATGAGAGAAATTTGTCCTTAAATGTTTTTTTAGCATGAAGTTCATATATTTTAAATATATTTATTTTTAAGATAATTTAGTTGAGTGTAGTGTAAATATTTTTTTTCATTATTTGAATAATTTTTTGGTGTGCTATATTGAATTAATTAAAATGCAATATTACTATGACATATCGAGCGAAATTGATCAAACTGACATTTTATTATAGCTTTCAAGAAAATAATACGGCCAATTTTTGTCATAAAAGCACCAAAGTATAAATGTTTATGATGAAGAATATATCAAATGCAAAAATGTTCAATTACGCCAATAATACTAATAATAATAATAAAACACAAAAATTTATGTCTGCGTTCATGGGAGGATATAGGAATTGAGCTTTGCAAAATTCAAGTGCACCTTGATCAACATAATAAATCCAACAATAACTAAGCTCCAAATCTCTTAAGAAAAGAAAATTTAAAAAAACGTTAGGAGAGAGAAAATTTAATGAAATAAATAATGAACAATCCATGAATTTCATCGTCTAAAGAAACCTCGGTAGCCCTAAGGTCAAAAGAATGAAACTCTAAGTTTTGAGACCCTATAAAAGTAGACCTCATAGAGGTGAGACTTACATCCGTCACATAAATGACAAGGAAGCCACCAGAAAGAAGAGAAGAGAGGTCAAACTATAAACCTGAAAATACTCTCACAAAGGACTTATTTTCCGTCTCAATTGGGGAAGCCTCTAACACACTAAGTGTGCTAGACAGCCACCTAATAATTAAAACTTATGGTTGGCTAGTTGGGTGAAGAAGCATGTGAGATTCTCCTCGGAACATTTGATATAATGCAATTGTCTAAACAGGTCTTGAGCATGGAGGCTCTATTAAATATGAATTGGGATATTGTTATGCTTTAAACATCATTTTAAAATTGGCCCAAAGTCCATGCAGAAAAGTAAAGTGTTGTTTTTAAATAGTTGAAATATTTCAATTCTAAATATTAATTAGTCTTCATTTTTAAGTATTAGGATTTTGAAAAGAGTGGCCCAAAGACCATGCAGAAAAGTAAAGTGTTGTTTTTAAATAGTTGAAATATTTCAATCCTAAATATTAATTAGTCTTAATTTCTAAGTATTAGGATTTTAAAAAGAGAAATTTTAGTTCCTTAAAAAGCTTAAATTACACTTTGCATGAGCATCCTAGATAAATTATAATCAAAAGGGGCGGGAACAAGTTATTACACATCATCAAGTAAATCAAACCATGTATATAAATAATAAAAAGGTCGGGTGCCGCTGGGTCGATAACATTTTCTAGAAAAAACAAAAAGGTGATCAAGCTTCGCATAGCCAAGTTTAGTCCTACTGTTTTATATGAAATATAGAGTTAAGGTACAAGACACAAGCTGCTCCTTCGGTGCGTCAAGTACCTCAAAACCCATTCTCGTATATTATTTATGATACATAGTCCCTAAAGTCTCTAAAAAAGTACATACAATAGTCAAAAAAAGGCTCACTCAACCTGTAACACAAAGGTTTAGCACGGATTATATCATACAAGCGTATAACAAACCGTATCTGGTAAGAGGAAAGCTTAATAAAACCTGCATAAAAGGTGTTAGTATAAATCATTGCAGCTCCTTTCTGTTGGGCATGAATCCCTACAATAAGACCGACATAATATACTAATGAGCAAGTTCACACCCAGTAAAAACATAAAGATCACACAAAATGCCTGGCTAAAGCGCAAATCAAGGAATAATAGCTAGGATATCAAAAATCCTAACTACATCTCCCACATAATCTACTTGATCAGGCTCAATCAGATGGCCCCAACGCCCTCAACTCTCGTTAGGCCGGGTGAGCAAGGCAAATCATTTGGTTTTATAGCAGTTGGTATCAGTCCCGAGCAATTGGCCGCCTAGCTCAACGAACCCCCTGTCCGATGGCCACTCAGTATAATTATACCCAACCAAGATCATCCGGCCTAATGGCAGCTTAACAAACTAATAGCCCGACCTAATAGCCGCCCGGTCTCTTTCGGTCGGACACCCATGAGCCTCTGGGCTATATTTATGCATAGACTAAAATAACCCTGTTGTACTTACGTTTACTGGGGATATAGTATATAATTGTATATCCCCAATTCTTATAAATAGGGGGTCCTCTTTATGAAGTTATGCAATTTTATTGTTCACAACTCAACACTTTACTCTCTCTTTCTTTCTGAGTTGCACTATTTCTGGGCGTGGGTGTCTCCCGGATAGATTAAGTAAGATTCAACAATATATATATATATATATATATATATATATATATAAAATGAAGAGTAGCTCGTGACTCCCTGCACGTTGATAGAAAATGAAGTTACAAAAATAGGGGGGAAAGAGGATCCCCACTAAAAACAAAAAGGAATACATAGTGTCCTATGGGTTCCTTCTTCCGCAGTACAACTCCACACAAAGAAACAGAGAAAGAAAAAAAAAAGGTATAACATCTTCATAAAGACAAGTATCCTGACAGAAAGTATACCAATCGAAGAAAAAATACCGAAAGGAACGTATAAAAACATTGTAAAATTAGTTGTGCGTTGATAGAAAATGAAGTTACAAAAATAGGGGGGAAAGAGGATCCCCACTAAAAACAAAAAGTAATACATAGCGTCATAGGGGTTCCTCCTTCCGCAGTACAACTCCACACAAAGAAACAAAGAAAGAAAAGGCTAAAATGTATAGCATCTCCATAATATACCTATAGAAAGTATACCAATTGAAGAAAAAATACCGAAAGGAACGTATAATAACATTGTAAAATTAGTTGTGAGAGTTGTAAAACCAAAATATCTTCGTTCAAAGCAGCTAGAGTCCGACCCATAAGAAGCAATATGCAGCAGACATGTAGATCTTCGGTGGAAGGTTTGAGGCAAATTGTGTGAAAATAAACCTGATCTAGATATGCTTCTCATAACACTTGCAAAATCTCTCCATTGAGTCAGGGTTTGCAAAACAATATAGCAAATGAGGTGGAAATCAAGTATGTCATTTAATAACATTAGCCGTGAAAGAAGTCCATTCCAAAAAAGAGGACATAATAGATCTGTAACAAAATAAAAATCCAGATAGAAAAAACCAACCTTCCCACCACAAACCATGAGGCTTAAGAAAGAAAGGCCCAACATAGCAGAAACGATTCAACATAAGGTTCCATCAACTCCTTAAATAAGGAGTGTCCTACATATCACTAAGTATATAACTTTTAAGGGGAAAACGAGGGGGTAATGCCAACCAGAGTTTTATTTAGGTTTAGCTTAGAAAGCCAATCAGCAGGAGTATTTCCCTCATGATAGACAAAAGCAAAGAGAATTTGGAGTTGATTGTTATTGATCACATTATGTATGCTTTGTAGTAAACAAGTTATGTTCCAGACCGATTCAGACTTCTTGATGAGGATATCCATAAAAACATTGTGAATCAGTCTCAATGATAACACATTTGAAATTAAAAGAAATAGTGACCTTTAAAGCCAAAAGAACAACATAACATTCAGCCTTAATAAGTGTGGAGGCAACAATAGGTGAGGCAAAAAAAGAATGGAAATTCCCATTTCTGTCTCTAAACAAACCACCAGCAACTATATTAGACCAACTAGCATCTATATTGGCCTTAAGCCACCCAGATAAAGGTGGCAATCATCTGACCAAAACAGGTTTCTTCTTACCATCCGAAATTCATGTGGCATTATCATTATTAATAGCTTTAGTAGCTTTATAAAAATTAGCCATGATGAGAAAAACAATGGTAGTAGGAGAGGGGGAAGAAGAGTGATGTTTATAATCATTTCTAGCAAGCCAGATGAACCAAAGAACCATTAAAGGAATTAAAGGAAAGTAATTCATCTTAAAGGGAAGAGAGGTGACACCTTGCTAAGCCTCTAATAGTTTACTCAAACTAAAGGGACTAGGTCAGCAACACCAAGTAGCTCACCGACAGTATTCCAAACATGCTTAGCAGAACAACATTCAAAAAATAGATGATGGGAAGATTCAAATTCTCTCTTACAAATGTAGCAAATAGAAGCCAACTTCAGTCCTTTCAGCTTAAGTATGTCATCAAGAGGCAATAAGGAATGTAAGTATCTCCAGAGAAAAAAAGAGGTAGAAGGAGAATTAAAATGATGCCATAGGGAAGAGCTCCATTTCCATTTGTGATAGTAGTGAGTATTTCTATATAACATTTTAGTAACATACCCCATAGAAATAAATTGCCACATATGCTTATCTCTTCCACTGGGTAGTAGAAATAGAAGGAGCTAAATTTCCCACCAAGGACCTCAACATATTAATATTCCAATTCCCACCATCACAAACATCAAAAAACCAGCAGGTTTGAAGTAATATCAGAATGTGGAAGGGTAGTAAGATCAGAAGTGCCCCAATGGTCAAGCCAAAAGGAGATTTTACTATCTCCAACCTCACAAAAAAAAAAAACTGAGTAGCAACAGTTCTAGCAAGGAGTATAGCCTTCCAGGAGTATAGCCTTCCAAAGTAATCATTAGTTCTCCAAGTCACAGTAGATGGGTGAGCAGTCTGGTAATATTTATGATAAAGAAATTGAGCCCAAATGGACTCCCCCACCAAAAATTTAAACCAAAGCTTGTACATATTGATATCAACAATTTGCTGTAAAGTTTTAAATCCAAGACCTTTAGAGAATCGAGGCATAGAGACTCTAGCCCAATTAGCCCAAATTTTGCCCAAGTTAGACACAAGCCAGAGAAATTTATTAGGAAGGTTTTCAAGATTTTTCTATGTGCTTTTTTTGCATTA